CAAGAAGCGGGAGCTTGGCGCCCTTTCCGAGGATGATGAGGCCGACCTAGGGGATGGCTCCCGTAAACACCATCGATGTTCATACATCTTCGGGGGACCCCAAGGAGGGGATACCTCGGGAGAGCGGAAACAATGGGCCCGAGCCTTGTACGTTGGGGAAATAACCAGAGCTCCTGCCGATAAGAGGGTGAAGAGGGATCCCATCTTCTTCACCGATGCAGATTTGACGTCGATGCCGCCACCAGCACAGGGATGCCTTGATGATCAAGATCGAGATCAATAACACCATCGTCCACCGAGTCCTGGTAGATAATGGGAGCTCCGTTAACATCATGTACTATGATACCTTCCAGGGGCTCGGCCTGGACAGGAAGGACTTGATCCCGGTAAGAACCCCGCTCTCAGGCTTCACCGGGGACTCCATTGAGTCGGAAGGTAGCATAGTCCTCCCTGTGGTGGTGGGCTCCGAGCCCTGCGTGTCTAAGTTAAACGTCGAATTCATAGTCGTACGCCTAACTTGTCCGCATAAGATCATCATGGGGAGGCCGACCCTGGAGGACCTGAGGTGTGTGATATCCCAGGAGCACCTGTGCATGAAGTTCCCCACTCCGAATGGTGTCGGAGTTGCTAGGGGAGACCAGCGGATGGCTAGGAGCTGCTACTTGAAAGCTTGCAAACAAATCGGCCAGAAGGACTTGAGAGTCCATACTATCAACAACAAGGCCATGAAGTATGAGGAGGGCCAGCTCCGTGCTGAACCCACCTCGGAAGTGGAGGAAATTCAGGTTGATCCTGAGAAGCTAGAACGGAAGGTCAGGATTGGAACCGGCCTCCCGGCCGGCTTGAGGGAAAAAATCATCCGAGTCTTGATCCTCTTCAGCGTTGTCTTTGCGTGGGGGCCGGAGGACATGCCCGACCTCGACCGAAGCATCGCTGTCCACCGGTTGGCGGTCGACCCATCGGCGAAACCCGTTCAGCAGAAGAGAAGACATCTCTCCATCGAGAGGAAGGAATTCGTGAAGAAGGAGTACAGCATGCTCCTGAGTATCGGACACATTCGGGAAGTCCTATACCCGGTGTGGCTGGCGAACGTGGTCCTGGCCCCGAAGCCACCGACCTGGAGGATGTGCGTCGACTACACCGACCTCAACAAGGCGTGTCCAATGGATCCATTCCCGTTACCTAACATCGACCAACTAGTTGATGGGACGGCCGGGTGTGAGCTCCTTAGCTTCATGGACGCCTTTCGAGGATACCACCAGATTTTTATGCATGAGGATGACGCGGAGAAGACCTCGTTCGTTACCCCGGAGGGAATTTTTTGCTATCTTGTCATGGCCTTCGGGCTAAAGAATTCCGGGGCAACGTACACGAGGATGGTGGCCAAAGTATTCCGGAAGGTGCTCGGAAGGAACATGGAAGCATACGTCGACGATATGATCGTCAAGAGCACCCGAGCGGCCGACCACGCAGATGACTTGGCAGAGATTTTCGGGATCATGAAGGCAGTGCGACTGCGCCTGAACCCAAAGAAGTGTACCTTTGCTGTCCAGGGAGGCAAGTTCCTGGGATACATGGTCACACGAAGAGGGATTGAGCCAAATCCCGAGAAGGTGAGGGCGATACTTGACATGGAGCCCCCGAGATCGGTGAAAGAAGTCCAGATTCTCACCGGTCGGCTAGCAGCCCTCGGGCGCTTCATGTCGAAGTCCGCTGAGAAATCATTTCTCAGCGGAAGAAAGGTAATGATTTCTCAGCGGACTTCGACATGAAGCGCCCGAGGGCTGCTAGCCGACCGGTGAGAATCTGGACTTCTTTCACCAATCTCGGGGGCTCCATGTCAAGTATCGCCCTCACCTTCTCGGGATTTGGCTCAATCCCTCTTCGTGTGACCATGTATCCCAGGAACTTGCCTCCCTGGACAGCAAAGGTACACTTCTTTGGGTTCAGGCGCAGTCGCACTGCCTTCATCAGGTGTTCGGCGTTCCAGACACGGTCTACTAGCCGGCCTGTTGTCGTCTTCAATTTGTATGTCCCGGGGCCGATTACAGCGTCAACCATGTAGGGGCCTTCCCACTTGACAGAAAGCTTACCTCCCTCTGTCGGCTTGCTGGCCTTCCTCCGCCTCAGGACGTAATCGCCAACGTCAAAACTCCGGGGCTGGGCTCGGCTGTCCTGGTACGCCTTGACTTGGTGTCGATAGTTTTCTGCTTTGATGAAGGCCCGGTCCTTCCTTTCCTCAATGAGGTGGAGCTCGACTCGGAGCCTCTCCTCATTGCTAGCTGGTTCGAACTCTTCCATTCGTCGGCTGGGGACTACGGCCTCGAACGGTGCCCTTGCCTCAAAGCCATAACACAAGGCGAAGTGGGTCTCTCCGGTTGCCTTCCTTGGGGTTGTTCTGAAGGTCAAGAGTATATTGTTCAACTCTTCTACCCAGGCAGTCCCGAGGGCCTCCAACTTCTTTTGCAACCCATCGATGATCGTCCGGTTGGTGTTCTCCACCTGTCCATTTGCCTGAGGGTAGCAGACCGCAACCCGGCTGGATTCTACGCCCCACTCTGCGCAGAACTGCCGGAAGGCTTCGCAGTCAAACTGCCTTCCGTTGTCGGAGATTATTTGGAGGGGAACTCCGAACCGGCAAAAAATATTCTTCCATATGAATTTCCTACACTGGAGATGTGTGATGCTTGCGAGCGGTTCGGCCTCAACCCATTTCGTAAAGTAGTCCACCGCAACGATCAAAAACTTCCGATTTCCCGACCCCGTTGGCAAGGGATCCGACCAGGTTGATGCCCCATCTCGTGAATGGAAGGGCGGTGCTGATCGGTGTGTACATCGTTGCTGGCCCGGCCGGGGCTCTTCTGGAATTTCTGACATGTCTCACACCTCCTTGCGTAGTCGGCACAGTCTCGCATTATTGTCGGCCAGAAGTACCCCTGGAGGACGACCTTCCTGGCAATTGTGCATGCCCCCTGGTGGGCGGAGCACACGCCCCCATGGAGTTCGGAGACGATCATGTCCGCCTCATGCGGGCGCAAACACTTTAGCAATGCCCCATTGTAGGACCTCTTGTATAGCTTCCCGTCAAAGACGACGTAGCCCGGAGCTCGTCGGCGGACTAGCTTTGCTTCATCCTCTCTATCAGGCAGCGTCCCATCGGCTATGTAACGTAGGAGGTCATCCACCCAGTACCAGGCGGCCGGTTGTAGGGGGAGGACGTTGACGGACGGTGAGGCTGCTATGCTTGAAGTTGTCATCTCCTCAATGCGTGCAATTCTCGAAATGTGTTCGGGCAACCCCTGGGATAGCTTCAAGAGGAGATCAGCGTCCGAGTTTTGGTTTCTTGGGACGCAAACCAACTCTGCCTGCTTGAACAACCCGAGTAATTCCCGGACCGCATCTCGGTACTTCGTCATCCTTTCTTCCTTCGCTTCGAATTCACCCTTAACCTGGGAAACGACCAACCGAGAGTCACATTTGACCGTTATCCATTCTGCCCCCATGGCGGCCGCTAGCCGCAGTTCGGACAATAGGGCCTCGTACTCCACCTCATTGTTGGAGACTTTGAAAAGATAACGGTAGGCATAGTAGGCCCGGAATCCCTCAGGGGAGATGAGGACGATTCCGCCCCCACATCCCTTTGCTCCGGCCGACCCGTCTGTTGCTAAGGTCCACCACTGCTCATTACTCTCCTGTTGTTTCTCTGTCACCTCTCGGGCTGTGCACTCCACGATGAAATCGGCCAAAGCTTGGCCCTTGATGGACGTCCGAGGCTGGAAGTCGACCTCGTACCGACTGAGGAGCATTGACCACTTCACCACTCGCGCTGTGTCAGGCGCCCTCAGAGTCGCACCCAGAGGTTGTTCTGATAGGATTCGGATTGGATGCGCCTGGAAATAGTGTGTCAACTTCTTTGCGGTGATGTAAGCAGCATAGATCGTCTTCTCGAGCGGGGTGTACCGGAGCTCGGCATTCTGGAGGGTTTTGCTTACATAATACACAGGACGTTGAACGCCTTCCTCCTCGCGAACCAGGACAGCCGAGCCCAGCCCCGGAGTTTTGACGTTGGCGATTACGTCCTGAGGCGGAGGAAGGCCAGCAAGCCGACAGAGGGAGGTAAGCTTTCTGTCAAGTGGGAAGGCCCCTACATGGTTGACGCTGTAATCGGCCCCGGGACATACAAATTGAAGACCACAACAGGCCGGGTAGTAGACCGTGTCTGGAACGCCGAACACCTGATGAAGTTTTATTAGTAGAGAACTGAAGTTTCACCTTTTCTTTATGAACTCCTGTTAATTCTTCATGTGGTCCGCCCACATTATGAAGTCAATATACTTTACTAGCGATATTTTGTCTTCAAAAGAGGCCCGACCTCACTTAGCAATTAAGGGCGGCGGCAAAAAAAAAAAGATACTATGCCCCCCTCGGTGTTTGGCCGACCTCGGGCAGGCTCTTGAACTGAAAATAGCCCAGCGATTTTCAAAAATCCAAGCAATTTTCTAAAGTAAAGAGCTAACCGCGATAGTCGAGGCGATAGTAGGACTGACCCCCGGGTTGGGAGCGCTCAAGGTGCCGACCTCCGGGTCCCCTTTGGAATGCTCGCAACCCGACATCGCTGGCCAAGCAGCTCGCACTCTCGCCATCTCCGGATTGGCGAAGCGGGTCCGTTCTGGTGGATCGTGCAGGGTCCGCCCCTGTTGTTTGGCTAACCCCGCGGGAGTAACCAGATTATTCCCCAAGTCCGGGCAAACTGGACGGGTCAAAGCGACAGTAGGACTGACCTCCGGGTCATGAACGTCGGGGTGCCGACCTAAGTGTCCTCCTCAAAAGTTCAATGTCCGACCTTGCTGGCCGAACAAGTCGCATACTTGTTGATTCCATATCAACAGCGAACAGATCACTTCTATCTGACCAGGAGGGGTGTGGATAGGCTTGGCCACACCAGCCTAATCGCCCCCCGGGAAGTTAGAGAAGTCGGATCCCCGAATAAAATTGCTTAAGTATTCGCAACGCAAAGTATAGGAAAAGAAACACATGAGTTTAAAATTGAACATCCAGTCAAAACACAATGTGTACAAGTGGAAGACAAGAAAGATGCAAAATACGAAGTCATGGCAGGACATGCCCATCGCCACCGACCTCGGGAATCTCATCTAACACAGCGACCAAGTCTTCATTGGACTCTAGAGCTCCCTCCAGCTGGCCAGACGCAAAGGGGGCCATGTCTTCCGAAGGTCGTGGAAAGAACCAGCACCATTCGTTCGAGTTACCGAACTCCTCCTCCTGGCGGTAGACTCCGGGGGGCAGGAGGGCTATTGCTGCCTCAGGTTTCTTCATGCGAGCGGGCAGGCCTAACGCGGATGGATGGAAGTCAGGGCCGAGACCCTCCAACTGATCATACAATTTATGCTGCGTCAAGTACTTGCCGCTCTGAAAAGCGTGCAGAACTTCACGAGCATGCCAGTACTCCCCCTCGTCGGTCTTCAGCCACTTATTCACTAAGACAGATTCCTTCGCTTCCACCCTATCAGATATGGTTTTCTGGAACTCATCGGAGGCCTTGAACTCGAGGATCGCTTTCTTGGCCGCCTGCTTGGCCCCTTCTTCACACTCTCTCGCATGCGAGAGCTGCAACTCGGAGAGGGCTTTCTCCCTATCCTGTAGGGCGGCTCTAACTTCATCAACCTCACGCTGAAGCCTCGCTTGAGAATGGTTAGCTGCCCAAAGTGCCCCAATGGTCTTAGCAAGTCCCTGCAAAACAAAGCAAACAAAATGTGATGGGATCGGGGAATAAAACAATATGCCGGAGACGTGATCGACCACTCACCTCAACATGGGTCCGAATAGAACCCTCCATGAAAGGCTGAAACCCCTGGGAGGTCATACGTGCGAGGTCACCCGGCGGTAAGACCGCTGAAGCATAATCCACGACCGGGAAGCCCTCATGCATGATCGAGGCACCCGGAGATGGGAAGGTGTAAGCAATTGTGTGCTGAGTGTCGCAGCCAACCCGCTCAGCCATCTTCTCGCCAGCATCTTCATGCGCCTGCCCGGCAGACTGGAATTCTGGGGTGACAGTCGTCCCCTCCAAAACATGCCTCTCTCGGCCCGGGGGGGCTCCGTGCCCTTTGCCTGCAGTGGCCTGGGGGGCCACAGGAGCAGTAGCTACGTGAGGCTCCACCTCCTCGTCATCAGACTCATCCAATTCGACCAGTAAGTCGACAATATCCCTCTTCTGCTTCTTCTCCGCTTGTGCGGCTGGCTGAGGCCCAAAGGTAACCCTCACCCTCCTCGGAACCTGTGCTACACGGTTTGGGGGAGCTCCATGCTCTTTTCCTTTGGTGGCCGTAGGAGCCACACGAGCGGTGAATGGCTGGGCTTCTTCGTCATCGTCATCGGATTCGGCACCAATGATGTGCTTCTCAGGCCTGTCTGGCACCTCTGCGGAAGGAAAATGTAAGGATAAGAAAGGTGAAATACAAAATAGCCAAACCTAGACTAAGGGAGTGACGATCACCTAAGTATGAGCTGATGGAGCGGGGACCGCCTGCGGACAACGTCTCGATGGATGACTTGAGGTCAGGAGAAAGGGCGACCCGGTCACACTTCCGGAGCCGATCACCCCACTGAAACGGAGGTGATTGAAGGGTGGCGTCGGACACCCAGATCCACCTCTTCTTCCATCGGCTACCTGAGTTAGGGTAACCCGGCCGGAATAGCTTGCTCACCGGCCTCTGGGAAATTGAGGCAAAAAAGCTGGAGGCGCGCCACTGGAAGCAACTAAAAAACAAATCGATCGTGGGAGTGAGGCCCACGTCCTCACATCGCGCCACAAAAGCCGCGACGAACATATGAGCCGTCGGAGCCAGTTGGCCCGGCGCCACACCCAAGAAGTGAAGAAATCGAACCAGGAAAGGATGCAGAGGCACAACCATCCCTAGCTCCAGAGAGCGGATATGGACCCCAAAGTAATGGACTGGGGGATGACTCAGTACCTCAGTAGCCTCCGGAGTTCTCAATGAACAATTGGCACCGATCAGGCTGTATGCAGCGGCAAGGTCCTCATCTTGGATATGAGGGGGGAGGTTCACTATCCCGCTATTATCGAGGCCCCACCAAAGGCTCGGGTCCTCCCGAGCACCAGAATCATCATCAGAGTCTGACATGTCCACATGTTGTGCTCGTGCTATGCGTGGAACGCTCAGTTGCTGACCCTCGGAAGTAGCAATCTGTCTGGCTGGAGCTTCGACCTGATGTTCTGTAGCTTTTCCCCCATGCATACGTGGTCTGGGGCCGCGGCTGACCCGTATGGGTTTCATGGCCGCCCCCTGCTTTCCTTCAATGATGGCCGGCAGCCCCGAGTCCGATGGTTTGGGGAGGGGCTGAACTTCAACTTGCATTGCCGTGTGAGAACCTCGACCATCGTTTTGATGAGAAGAGCACCCTCCATGTTGCATGGTCAAACGGGATGGAGTGCACCTACACATCAGAAACAAAACAAAAGAAAGTTAGCGTATACGAGGCGTCAAGCCTGCCCGTCAACTTGGAGTGCGCCAACAGGGGGGCTCACACCCACATGACCACTTAGATGGGGGTGAAGCCGGTCAGCAACAGGACAACCGTCGACTTCCTAGGCGATGTCGTGCCGGTAAAGGGCGACCGGCCGGCTGGCCGGCCCCAACCAACTCTATGCGGCCAAGGAGGAGCCGGACGCTGGGAGGACTGCTCGCGTGGGGCGCCGGGCAGCAGCCTGTGATGGACCCGCGAGATGCTTTCATGGAAGAAAAGCTGGACCCCACGCACACATGGTTTCCGTCATTGGCAAGCAAGAAGGAAAAAGGGGGGTGGGAACCACCCTGCCGTCCGGATGAAGAGGAGCGCCGAGGAGACCGCCGGACAACGCGGGACCCTGGGAATGTGAAATCCAGCCTGGCCCATCGCCCAACTGGGGGGAACCCGCGCCGCTAGCAGCCGGCAGTATGACAGAGGGCGGAATGCCTATTCTATGCATGCATGAACTTCCGCCGATCCAAGGAGAAAAAAGATGCGGGGCGGCAGTTACCCACAAGCCCCAGCAGCTTGACCGGCCAAGAGAGAGCGGAGGCAACTCAGCCTGGCCCCTCGGCACCACCCGGACGCTTGGCCGCCACCTTCCTAGGCAACGGCGGCCGGCAGCGGAAGCACGCGGTTGCTCTCCGGACAGCCAGAACGCCGGAGGGAGGGACAACCATGTCAGTCCTCTGGGAGACGCCGACCATCAGGGGGTGGCCGCCGGCCCATGCGAGATGCACCATCCGCAGTAGGAGACCAGACCGTCCGTCCAGATTTGTCGGACTGCCAGGCCGGATTTGCTAAGACCAGCGGACGGCACGGGACAGCCGCCTGGCACGGCGGGGTCGACCCAGGGGAGCCGCCATAGGGAGAACGTCGGTCAGCCGCTGCTTGGGTTGACTGCGGCGCTGGGGCGACGCGAGCTACGCGAGGAAGACGCACAGGGAACCAGGAGAGAGAAAGAAAAGAAAAGGAAAGAAAAGAAAAGGAAAGAAAAGAAAAGGAAAGAAAAGAAAAAGAAAGAAAAGAAAAGAAAAGAAAAAAAGAAAAGAAAAGAAAAGAAAAAGAAAAAAAAAAGAAAAAAAAAATTTGAGGTCCGAAAATAATTATGATGAATTTCAGGAATTTTCGGAAACTGACCTGGATTCTGAAGTCTGGGAGAAAGCTGACTGTTGGAATGCTGGGATGCTGAGGGAATTAATTTGAAGCCTTTTAAAGCTGAGAGCTTTATTTAAAATTGGAGAATTTCCATAAATTGTGGATTTGACGGAATCCACAATTATGGCTCCCTGGTATGTGAATATTTTCTAATTGGCGGTTGACTTGGACTATGATGTGATTTTTCTCGCACTTAAAATAGATCGTAATATAGTGGTGTAAGTACGAGTATCGTCTCCACAGGGACGGACAAAAGGGAATCAAGAATTAATTAAATTCAGCGATTAAAAGAAATAAATAAAATAAATGCGTCGTGCGAGATTGGTTGATTTGAAAATTAAACTAATGCGGTTGAGCGAATAAAAATAAATGTTGGTTTCTTCTTAATTAACGACGAAGGGAACAGGGATTGATTCCGGGGTAACCAGATTTCTTGCAGATCAGGCCTAATTACATGAATTTAATTTAATTGAGCCTAGCTAATCATTACTAAGTTCTTACCGCTCTCGCGGCGTAGAATACAATAATTTAGGGAACCAGGCTGATCTCTCATGCGACATGATCCTAAATTATTGCCAAGACGAGCGAGCTTACGGCCCCTTAATCGCTACTAATCTCTTAGCGAACGATTAAGTGTGTGTGAATGTGTCCTAGAACAAATTAGATCTCTCTTAATTCATTCTACATGCAATTGTAATTCTAGCTGCAGTCTAGGTTACAAGAGATATCAATTAAATTATTCAAACACAAATTAAACGGCATTCATGCAATTAAACCGACAAGAATCTAGCCATCAATCATGATTAACCCCTTCATCAACCCCAAATCCCTAATTAAACTACTCACAATTCATAATTGAAGAATCAATAGAATTGAGATGAATAGAAATAATTGTCATTAATTAAAAAGATGAACTTACAAATAATCCCAGGGTCTTGGAAGAAACTAGCGTAAAAACGGTGTTAAATTCGTCCCTAGGCCTCTCCGTAATGTTCGTAACGTCAAAAAATGGGTATGGGGGTCTTATTTATAGAAAACAGATGAGTTTGGGCTGAACTGGGACTAAAAAGGGCTGAAATCCGCGTCTCGGGTGTACGCACGATCGTGCGTACCTTGCCACGCACGATCGTGCGTAGCAGGCAGATTTGTTACCGCGTTTTTGGCTCTTACGCACGATCGTGCGTCCTTTTACGCACGGTCGTGCGTCCGTGCTCTTCAGCCTTTTTTCTAGTCCGAATTTGACAAAACTTCCTTCATAAAAGTTGTAGATAATGAAGTCCTCTATCCACCCCAACTTGCCGAATGTGATTTGAATCATCCAATCACGAGATATGACCAAAATGGTGGAAGGTGTCATTCTGAAATCGCAGCAGAAATCATCTGACTTCATCATCTGTTTTCACCTTGATCCTCTCAGATTCTTGGAATGATGTCTTCATATGATTTGTATCCCTTTAAGTTGGCTTTCATATGCAACTTGAATCGTGTCCTTTGGATGCTTATACAAAGAGATATGCTTGAACGATTGACCAAAGGTCATCCTGATCGTCGTTTTCCAGCTTCATTCATCTTCTTTTGATCCCATAGCCAATCCTAGAGCTCTTTTGTCATCAAATCTTCATCGTGAACCTCCCGGTGACCTCCAAAGCTCTCAATCCACTCTCGAATGCATCTCGAATCATCCCGATTGCTCCTCAAGTGCCGATGTTCAACTCTAAATTCCTCATTTTGACTCCAAATGCAACAAAACTTGAACCAACGCATGTTAAACATAACTTGAGCTAAAATTAAGACTTGCAACAACTTAAATCTAGGAAAACCATCAAAATCCAATCCCAACACGCATCAAATGCGTGTCTAAATACGGACTTATCAGATTCCCCCACACTTAAGCCTTTGCTTGTCCTCAAGCAAACTGAACAACGGGACTTACGATAATCACCACACGGAATCAAAACAATTAGCATGCACACGTAGTTAAAGGAATATTCATAGAACAGGCAGACTAAACCAAGAAAATTCTTCCCTAAACTACATCTTTGTACTCAAGCTAAACTATTTGACAAAGTATTCACAACATCCTTAGAGTAATGACAACATACACAAATAAACTAGCTATTGATCAGAAGGACTTGTGAAGGTGATGGTGAATGATGAATGGTAATAAACAGTCCCTTTCTTTTGAGAGATTGGAATATTCTAACAAAGACTCAATGTATTCAGGAACTTCAGGGCTATTCTTAGGAACAAGGAACTCAGTAGGCCACAATTTAGGAACAATCATTTAAACATATGCAAAGAGTAGACATGGTGTACAACTAAGCTAAACCGTCTCGGCACATTTGTGCTTTGACGTATACTTGAAGTACGAGGACTAAAGCTAATTTTTGCAATAGCCTCCAAGTTCATTAATTATGTTTAGTTTTCCTTGTCATGTTGGCACGAGAACGCCGTTTCTTTCGAAAGATACCCAAGTCTCATCTTACGCTTTTTGACTGGGGCTCCCATTCTCTTTTTCGCAAGATAAGAGGTCTAGCTATATTAATTTTTCACCTTTCGGATTCTCACTAGACATTACCCCATTCTAATCTCGGTCTCACCAAGGAAAAATAGCAATTAAGGTTCATTTATTTAAAAGTGAATCCATGCCTACAATGCAATCCTCGAAAGTATCAAATTGCTAAAAAGTGACTGCTCTTACCCCATTTGGATATAGGAACAGTGCCAAAAATGGCTCCTACACAAATTTCCTAAACTTAGCAAATTAATCCCCTAGTTCCCTAAACACCAAGACTATGTCAGAAATATTCACGGGTAAGGAAACACGGTCCATTTGGCTATGGAGCTCAATTAATTCGGGTAACAATAAATGGTCAGGCTCAAAGTGGCTTCTCCTAAAGGATTTTTTTAGGTGGGGTAGATGATTAATGGAAAATTCAATGGGTGACTAATGCCTTCATCCTTTCAACAACTAGATTATAGTGCAAGCAATTTAAGCCTAAACACTTCAAAGATGTCCTAAAAACATAGTCAAAACGCTAGCCAGCTCACAAAGACACAGTTTAAAGAAAAATTTTCAAAAATTTTGACATGAATTTTCTATGAATATACAACTAACACCTGTGCATGCTAACTCTAAAAATCACATGTAACAACTACTGCCCGAATGCCCAATTCACTCCCCCACACTTAAACTTTGGCATCGTCCTCGATGACCAAAAATGCACTATGCACAAGGAGGTAAAGAGGATAGGGTCACGCGTGCTCAACTTAACTCAAGTCAATTATTACAAACAGGCGATTATTAGAGTCACAGATTCTTCCCTAAGGCGTTGGTCGGTGCAGAACTAAACTGAGTCAAGTGATCCTCGGCACATCATCCCCAAAGCAAGACCCTGAGCTGCAAAAACAAATCACACAAACACAAAAACAAACCCAAAAAAACACCCCAGATTTTTTTTTTGGTTTTTTTTCCAGGGGTTTTCTGAAAGAAAACAAACAAAGAAACAAAAAAATGCAGAAATAAGCTTGGGTTGCCTCCCAAGAAGCGCTATTTTTAACGTCGTTTGCCCGACGCAACTTCCTCATACGCTCTCAAATAGCAAAGACTGCAGTGGTGCACTAATAATCAATGTCTCCAGCTTCCTCTCAACAAATGCCAGTAGGTGTCGCGGATCCTTAAATTCTCGAATATGTGTAGGCGGTACATGGTCTTCATAACCCTCATCTGCACAGAAGTGAAGTATGAAACTCTCATCCTCTTCAGGTGGATATGGAACATGAGTGAAAACTTTGATTACTCTAGGCATCACCGGAAGCTCAAAACATGTCTCCAAGCAAGGAGTAGGAGCAACACCGTAATCAAACTGCACCATAGAAAAGTCTTCTTCTTCCTCACAAATATCATGAAAATTCACAGCCTCTCCTCTGTACTCTGTATCACTCCCCATGAAGGCATCCCAACTCTCGTTAACATCGTTCTTATCAATAACTTCCCGGATGATGTTGTCATTCTCCACACAAAAAGGAATATCGTCATCAAGGAGTGAATCAAAGAAGTCCATATCTGAAACCACGTAAGAGTGGACCGGTGCATGTATACAAGAGGGAAATTCTTGCTTCTGGAGCGGGACTTCTTCATTATGAACATCATGTAACTCGCCCTCACTCTCTTGAAGCATGTAATCATCTTTTCCCAACTCATCTTCAATACCCAAACCTACCTCAGTAGCTGCATCAACGTCATGACTGATCTTCTCCTTGCCCTCATCAGGTGTTGAGACTAACGGTAAATCAAACGGATGGGGAGTTTCTGTATGAAGATCACAGTGATTTGTGACTTCATCAGTTACAGCTTGTACCGTTTCAAACTTTTTCCTGTATTCTTGGAAAAACAACTTCACACTATTATCTTCTTCTTCATCTTCAAACATAGGAGGGTCTTCAAAAACATCAGGAAGTGTATCATCCATCATATTCCCACCTTCGCAGTCCGACTTACTCACATGATCATCCCTATTGGTCTCCTCAGGTTGGGCTTTTGTGTCGCTAGGATGGGATCTCTCGGACTCCTCAGATAGGGCGTTAAACAGTTGATCCAAGTGATTACTGAAATTCTGCATTCCTGCTGTGAGTTGCATGATTCCCTCTTCCAAGTAAGAAAGCCTCTTTAAATCTGCCTCCTCTAGATCCTCTTGTTGATTATGAGACTCATTACTCGGGAAGTATGTAGGAGTGGCTGAAACATTTGTGTCCGTAAATTGTGTGGAGGAAGAAGTGGGGTATGCAGTTGCCCAGTAAGGATGGTCGTATGGAGGAATGGGGCAAAGACATGAATGGTGACCACCTCCACAGAAGTTACAAATGCTATTTTTAGGAAAGTAATCAACCAATTCCTCGGG